TGAGGCCCTGGGTGCAGTTCTTAAAGTTTAGGCTTATTTCTCTCTGTTGGAAGAAAGATTATTCGGGGGGAGAACTGCTGTTTATTGAATGTCCCCACATGTCAGCACTGTGCAGAGCACTTAGGAACATGGTCTTTTGGGAAGAAAAGGAACCAGGAGACAGAAGATGTTCTCACCCAGCCCTGCCAGTTACTATGTGGCTTCAGGCAGGTAGTTACCCTCTCTGTACTTCATTCTGGTCATATTTAATTGGGATGAACACACCTATACCATCAATATCTGGGGTCACAAACTCCCATGTCCCCTGGGGCCAGGTAGGTACGTGAGTGAGGCTGGTCTGGTGGGATCTGCAGCAAGTGGGAGAGCACACGGCTGTGTACAGCGGCATCCGCTATGGAAGTCTAGCATCGTTGCTATAGGACAGTGTGGCCATGTGGCCAGACTTTATGATTTTTTGGGGAGAGATGGGGAGCTTGGGTTTTATGTGATACCCCTCCCATTCACCAAAACCTCATCTCCATGAGAGGAAGGATTTTTTCCTCTTACACCTCAGCCTGTAACTACTCAAGATATTTTTTTGAATGAATGAAACAATACAAGTTGGAAATGAATTTAAAATGTTTTAAAACTATGTGTGAACCAAACACAGTCTGCAGGACATAGGTTTTCAACTTCTAGACTGTATTATGAAGCAATATTAGGGTCTGAAAGTATCTGAGAAGTTGAAAGCAGTGTGTAAATGGGATACATCTTTTCCCCCACAATCCTTTTCATATCTGCTCACAGTAGCTTTAGCACCTAACAGGTGCTTGGGCCAGGAAATGAACAATGAACACTGAAACAATCAGTGAAAACGAAGCACTATCCCTTCAGCCTTCTGGGATATCCAAGCTGTGGCCCTCATCTGCAGTAGGTGGGTCTCTAACCTGGACCTCAACTTGCCCATCTGTAAAATGAATTATATTAAATCCCTAAGGCCTCTTTCAGCTTGCCAAGTATGTGATTCTATTAGGGTCATCCTATGAGGCATCTTCTCCACTCCCACCGCTAACTCCCAAGACCTAGGAGATTCCCTGACCCCAAGGAATCTGTTTCTCCTACACCAGCTGTCCTCAGGAGCAGACTTCTCTGCCCCACCCACCCACACTGCTAATAGGACCAGAAACAGGGCTGAAAGCCTCCTGTGTCCTGTCGTGAATGTTGAGGCAGGTTCGCACCGAGAGTGTTCTGTCCTGATGGCTAGCTCTGACACCTGATAAAGAGAAACATTTAATCTCCTAGCTGGTCCCCTCTCTTCTGGAGAGGCGAGACATGAGGACCTGCTGAAAGCTTTATCTCTGCTTGTCCTTCTGGGTGAGGTTAAGGGGTGGGGCTGGGCAGAAGCTTTAGAGAAGAGACACTTTTTCAGGGCTCTGTTCTATGAAGCATGAGGATTTGGGGTCACCCCTGTCAGAGTGAATAGGAGTGGGCTGGGCCAAGGAAGACAGGAAGTCCCTGAGCCCTTGGGAGGTCCTTAGCTATCCTGTGACAAGATACTCCACTCTCTAAATATTCTCTGTGCTTAGTCTTGTAGATGGAACAGAAGTTAAAGGAAAGAAGGTTAGGCCTTCTCTTCTCCACTGGTAATCTTAAGGGAGGGGACAGGAGAGGAACAGAGAGTAGCTGGGTAAGATGTCAAGGGGCTAGGGTCGGTGCTTGAGGAGAGAGATTTTTAAAGCCATTTTCGAAAGGATTTTAGGCTGTGTAAGAGAGGGCAGGGCCAGAGACTCTGGCCCAGAGAAGAGAAGGGTATCGGGAAGAAAAGCGGATGGTTCCCCAAGGCAGAGGTTCTGCTGTTTGCAGAGGAACCAACCAAAACAGGGAGGGTTCCTGGGTCATGGGTGGATTTGGGCGATTTCCATTCCTGTTTGCAGGAACTTGGAGGTCAGCCAGGGAGGAGCTGCCTCTGCTGTCATCTGGGGCTGGTAGCTTTAGGGGAAGGAGCACCTAAGGCAAGGTGTCCTGGGTCCATTGCTGGTCCCTGGTAGGATCTGAACACTGTTTTGGAATGTGCCTCCTCCCCACCACCCCTCCGGAGTGCTCTGTGGCTCCATCACCTGCTCAGATGGGCCCGAGCTGGAGACACCCCATTGCCCTCCCCGGCCTGCAGGTGAATGTGCTGGCCCTCAGCATCTGCACGCGGGAAGCCTACCAGTCCATGAAGGAGCGGAAGGTGGACGACGGGCACATCATTAACATCAACAGGTGAGGCAGATGACCAAGGGCTCAAGTGCAGATTACCACTCAGCCTCCAAGCTGGGCGATCTGCTGCAGCTCATTTGACCTCTTTGGACCTATTTCTTTGGTGGCAAATAGGGATTTAATATACTCAGTTAAAACCCAAATAACATAATTAGGGTGAGGGAAAGAACAGTGTGTGTCATGTGCCAGCCCCTAGTTGGCTAGAATGGGTGGCTCAGCCCCTTCTTTTTGCAGCTGAAGCTTGGGGGCTCTCCTGGCACTGAAGTTCTCCATTTGTCAGGCCCTGGAATGAACTCTACCTTGTGGTCCAAAGAAAGACTACACAGTATCATTGGATAGCTCCTGGTCTGAGAGGGAGACATGGCCTCTGCCCCCAGAGATCTCCTAATAGAACCATATTGGTGAAACATGCAGATGAAATTGAGAGATTTTTGACAGCCTACATGACCGGAAGAGTGGATTCTGTGGTCAGCAGAGGGAGGACTTCTAGAAGAATAGGGCGTTCAGGAGCTGCTTGAATAACAGAAGCTAAATTAGTGGGCCACAAAGATGGACTCTAGAGGTTCCCTTTTGAAGGCTTCTCTGTGGCATCTAGGTGGTGTGGTTGTCTGGTATAGCAAGGGGCATTGCTGATCTCTTGGGAGCATCACTCTCTTTTTTCCCCTTCTGTCCCTCTACCCAGCATGTCTGGCCACCGAGTGGTACCCCTGTCTGTGGCCCATTTCTATAGTGCTACCAAGTATGCCGTCACTGCACTGACAGAGGGACTGAGGCAAGAGCTTCGAGAGGCCCAGACCCACATCCGAGCCACGGTGAGGGTGTGGCCTGGCCCTGGTGGGGACTGGGTAGGCGTAGGCCCTCCCTAACCCCACCCATACTACCCAGGGAGCCCATGTCCAGGGTTATTGCCTAGAACCCTTGGGAGTGTGTACTGGGTACAGAGCTCCTGGACTCTGCCACTACTTGCATGGCCCTGCTCAGTATTTGAGCTTCCTCGATTCACTGACTTTGAGATGGGAGGAGGCTGGCCTGAATGGAACATTCAGGGAAAGAATGGTGGGGTGAGACTGAGGGAAAGCAAGGGATTATGGGAAGCTAGGTGCACAATGGCTGGAAGCCTTGGTCTTCTCCTTTGTAAAATGGAGATGATAATATCTATCAGGTTATGAGGTTTTTTTTGAGATGTTTTGTAAAACATATACCTGGCTTATGGTAAGGGCTCTGTAGATGGTAGATATCAAAGCTGCCAGTGGCAGCTCTGGAGGGAGGAGGCAGCTGATGGACATGGAGCAGCTATCACTTTGAAGCTGGGGCCTTGTGGCTTCCATACTTAACTTCCAATCTCCCCAAGGCCTGGCCTCTGATTGGGGTGGGGGTGGAGCAAAGCCCAGCCCCTGAACAGGCCCTCTCTGTTGGCCCAGTGCATCTCTCCAGGAGTGGTGGAGACACAGTTCGCCTTCAAACTCCATGACAAGGACCCTGAGAAGGCAGCTGCCATCTATGAACACATAAAGGTGGGGCCTCCCTCTGGGCCTGGTGAAGCCACTCACTCTTAAGGCAGAGGGAAGAGAACCTTGGCCTTTAGACCCCACCCTTCTAGCTAGCCCGTCACCCCTCCTGGAGGGTTGGGGTGGGAATGTGGATGCTGGAGGGGACCTCAGTGGTGGGAAGGAACTTGGATTCATTCTTTTCTCATCTCGGGCGCCCTTTCTCCCGGTGCTCTCAGTGTCTGAAAGCTGAAGATGTGGCAGAGGCTGTCATCTATGTCCTCAGCACCCCGCCACATGTCCAGGTAAGTCTGGCCGTGGTTGTCCATGCCCTGGAGAAGCCCAACCATCCCCAGAGGAGGAGAGCAGGGAGGCCTTAAGGGTGTGGGAAGTGTGTCCTGGTTGCCTCAAGGCTTGTGCGTTCCACAGATCGGAGACATCCAAATGAGGCCCACGGAACAGGCGACCTAGTTTGCTGTGGGGAGCCCTGTCTTCCTTCCCCGACCCTCACGGCTTGGTTCCTGCCTCTGGATTGTAGGTGTTAATTTCTGGACTCCTGGATTCTACTTCCTCTCCCCACCCCCACCAGGGGTTAGAAAATTTGTTTCTTTCAGATTTTTTATCTTATCAAATTGTTTCCGCCACAAATGTGAAAAGTGGGCTGGAGAGAAGAGGTGGTGTCTCTAATTGTTTTACCCGTTAACTCAAAAGCAGTCACTCACGACAGGTTCTTGGTTCCCTTCTTGGGCTCCTTGACCTTTGTTTGCTGTCCTTGGTCTCTTCCCTTTGACCTGGGGAAGGTACTGTGGCCAAAAGGGGGGCTTCCCTCTATCTTCTCGAATCCCACCCCATGTTGCTCAGGGATGAGATGGCAGAGAGAACTCACCTATCTGAATCGCTATCAAGGACTATAGGCTTCCTCCTCTCCCTGTCTGACTACACCCACTGCGCCTTCTCTTCCCCCATCCCAGTTCTGTCCAATTGTGGCTTCTCAGCCCCCCGTGGGATCATCATTGTACTCAGACAATGTCAGCAAGATACCAGGGCCTGCCTCCCAATTGTTTTTCACTGTGATAATTAAAAAAGAAAAATCGCAACAACCTATCTTGGCTTCAGGAGTGTCTTTCTGTTCTCCTCCCTGCTCTGTGCTCAGGGGTGGTTGTTTCAGAATTTCTTCCAGGTGAGTGGGAAAGTGAGTGGATTTAGGGCCTCACTGCTGGAGCGTGAGTTTGGGTTGGGTTTTAAAAATGGGTAGGAGTTTCCCAGCCGGAAAAGAAGACAACAGGGCGTACGTACAAGGCTGAGGGGCCCAAAAGAGCATGCAGTGTTGTGAGAACAGCACAGAACTTAGTGTGTGAGTGAGATGAGGCTGAAAAGGTGGCTCTTGCCTAGATCCCTGGGGGTCTGAGTGCTGAGCAAGGAGTCTGGCCATTACCTGTGGGCCAAGGGCATCAGTTGGCTTGTCAGCAGCCACAGGACAGGCACAGACTATCACTTAGAGAATCAGCGGCCACGAGATAGGAAGGTATTGCTAGGTCCTGGTTACTGGTGCTGAGGGTTTGACAAGACAGTGGAGGTTCAGAGGAGGGGCTGGATGCCATAGCTTCTGAGGAAAATAAGCTTCCGGTGGTGGACTGGAAGTGGGGAGGGAAGCACTACCTCTGAACTGGTTGAACACATCCCCTTAAAGTGTCCTCTGCTGGTGCCTGAATGAATGCGACCCTCCAACCTCCTGGAACCTCCAAGCGCACAGAATGAAGCCTGGAGCAGGGTCAGCTCAGCGCTGATCACCGCGGTGCGGTGGAGGTCGCTGCTCAGTCAGGCCCGCAGGTGGCGCTGTAGGGACGACCCGGTGGCCGGGCTTGCGCAGAACGTCGCCGGGCAGGGGGCAGGGCCGCCCGAACCCGGAAGCGGAGCAGCCCACGTGGGGTTCGGGAAGGGGCGATTACTCAATTCTAGGCTATGTTCGAGCAGGGAGTCTAGGCTGTTCGTTCCTCTGTCTAAGGAGGCAGGGTGGGGGCTGCTGTGGGGTCCCCTTAACCCGTGTTTGGGGCCGGGGAGTGGACCCCGTCGGCAGTGACCGCTTCTGAGGACGCAGCAGGGGCCATCGGCCATGGCGCTGCTCTCGGCCCTCCGGGGCGCGACCTGGCGTTGCTCCGGTCACCTCCTAGCGCGTCATTTTTCCCAAGCGGCGCGGCGCGGGCAGCAGCCCGGTGGGGAGTGGCTAAGTCACCTGAGACTGGATGACCTGGCGCCGACTCCGCGGTCCGCCGGGGGACTAGAACTTCTGTTTGGCCTGTTCCCGTGTCTCCTGGCTCTGCGGGCCGCCCGCCGCCGCGTGTCCCGGCTGCTGCTCCAGGCCGGCAGGTCCGGGCTGCAAGGGGAGCGGGCGGAGCTGCTCCGCGTGGCCGAGGCACGGGACATCCCTGTTCTGCGTCTCAGACGACAGAAGCTGGACGCTCTCTGCCGCTACCAGGTCCACCAGGGCGTCTGCATGGAGGTGAGCCCTCTGCGGCCCCGGCCCTGGACCGAGGCTGGGGAGGCGAGGCCAGGAGGCGACCCCCAGCAGCTGTGGCTCGTCCTCGAGGGGCTCCAGGATCCCCGGAACCTTGGGGCTGTGCTGCGCTCCGCTCACTTCCTCGGAGTGGATAAGCTCATCATCAGCCAGAGAAACAGGCACGGACGACCCTTATTTTCCATGTGCCCCAATTTCGAGGCACAGCCGAGTGCCTAACCATCTTGACCCTTTGGCGATCCCTCAGTAAAGCCTCTCTATCGCTAGAATTCTCATCTATAACCCTTGGGGGCCGGGGGGAGGGTAGGGCACGGAGCTTGAGATTACTCAGCCTCATGTGGGGCTAACTTTACAGCTGCCCGCTCACGCCGATAGTCAGCAAGGCCAGCGCGGGGGCTGTGGAGGTGATGGACGTGTTCTCCACTGATGACTTGGAAGGCTTTTTACAGGTAAGGGGGTGGGGGAAGTAAAGCAGAAATAAGCTAAGCTCAGCCTTCCCAAGGGCACTTGGCCAGCAGCAGATGGAGGAAGGGGAGAGAAGGGAGCATGTTGGCATCACTTCCTACATCCTTCTAAAGAAGGATCCCAGAGTGTTTCAAATCACAAGTGGAGCAGAGTCTGAAGTTAAGGGCTTCATAGTGTCATTCCCTTTACTGCACTCCGTCCCCGGCCATACCTCTTTGCCCCTCCTGCGAATTTACCACAGTGCCTCATTGCCTACTAAGTAGGCCTTCCGTGTTTAGCTGATAGGAGGCCTGGGTTCTTTCAGTAGGGACATAGATTGAAAGGCTCTTTGAACAAGGACTAGTTTATGCCTTTCCTGTGTTCCCTCACACACAAAAAGCAAACAAACAAAAAAACAAAAAACATCCTCTCCCCCACCCCCCACGAAAACCCCAACTTCTGGGGACAAATCTAAGAAACTCCTCTCCTGGAGCGTGCTGGTGTCTTCAGCTGTGCTTCCTTTGAAGGACACAAGGGGGAAGTATTGCCCTGCATTTGGCAGTTCCCAGACCATACTCCTGTCTCAGTCCTAGAATCTCTTCTTGTATGTAGGCATTTCTTTTTTGTGTCATCCAGTCTCATGGCTTTAAATACCATCTATATTTGAATGATTCCCAAATGTATTTCTAGCCTGGATCTTGCTGCTCAACCCCAGGTTCATGTATCTAGTTGCCTACTCAGCAACCCTCTTTTGCTAATGGGCATTTCAAACCGAACATTTCCAAAGCAGGGCACCTGTTCCTTCTGCAGACTTACCAAGCTCAGTTGATGGCAACTCCATTCCTTCAATTATTTAGGCCAAAAACCTTGGTGTCATCCTTGATTTTTACTGGTCTCACACTCTGTGTCTCACCCATCAGTGCATCCTTTTGGTTTTACTGTGAAGTTATTTCCATATTCTCACCGTTTCTTACCATCTCCACTGCTACCACTTTGGTCCAAGCCACCATCATCTATTGCCTGTATTATTGCAGAAAACTCCAAGGTGGTCTCCTTGGTTTTGCTGTTGGCTCTCAACACAACAGGCACAGTGATCCTGTTGAAACACAAGTCAGACCATGTTACTTTTCTGCTCAGAACCTTTCAAAGCCTTTGCATTTCTCTCCAAGTATAAGCCAGAGTCCTTCCAGGGGCCTTCGAGGTTCTACCTCATATGGCCCTTTGTTCCCTCTCCTGTCTCAGTGGCTCCCTTCCCACTGAACACCTTTCTGTTCTGCTGTTCCTCACACATGCCAGGTAAGAAGCCACCTCTGAGCCTTTGCACTTACTGGTCCCTGCCTAGAATATTATCCCCCAGATGTCTCCACGGTGCTCCCTCATCTCCTTCAGGTCTATATTCAAAAGTCACTCCAGTGAGGCCCTCTCCAACTCCCCTTCTGTGATGCTGGGATTTTGGCCTGTTTGTTCACTGCCGTCTCTCCAGTGCCTATAACAGAGCTTGCCCATTCTAGGTGCTTAATAACTATTGACTGAATTGAATGGTTCAGTGAGGGAATGAGTCTGTATATAGCAAGGTTGGGCTCCTTCTTGGCCAGAGTTCTGAGGAGAGTTAGTGAGCTAGAACATGATTTCTTCTTCCCCCTTCTAGGCCAAAGCCCAGCAGGGCTGGCTCGTAGCTGGCACAGTGGGCTGCCCTGGGCCTGGGATTTCCCAGTCCTCTGAGATCCCCATCACGAGTTGCTTGGAGTTCCTCTGGGACCGGCCTACTCTCCTAGTGCTTGGTAGGTAGATGTCCCTGCTTTTCCGTGCTCAGACATGCATTTCTTGAGCACCTGCATGTCCAGCTGGGACATCCCTAACCTGCCCTCATGCTCTACAGGGAGCGAGGGCTCAGGCCTGTCCCAGGAGGTGCAGGCCTCCTGCCAGCTTCTCCTTACCATCCTGCCTGGAAGACAGCTGCCTCCTGGACTGGAGTCTTTGAATGTCTCTGTGGCTGCGGGTGAGTCTGCTCTCCCCTTCTTGCCTCCTGATCACACATGTGTAGCTAGTTTATCCTAAACGAGTTTTTCAGTCTTTGTGTGTCTCAATTGCTTTTTGTGCCAAATGAGGAAAATGCATCCATTTGAGGATAAAATGAGGAAGTGCCTGACACATGATCTTTCCTTTTCTCAGTTCTCTCTTTTCTCCCTGTCCTGTCTATCTGTACAGGAATTATTCTTCATTCCATTTGCAGCCAGAGGAAAGGTTTTGTAGGAGATGGGAAGAGAGAGCAAATTCACCAAGACTCCCAAGAGCCCTCAGCCACATCCGAAGGGCCCAGAGTGGCTCAGCACCCAGGACAGTCTTCAGGATCAGAAAAAGAGAAAGAGAGGCAAGATGGGGGCTGACTTGGACTATTCGAGATGTGTGTGTGCTGGAGGGCAGGGGGTGGGTTGCATGTACATCCACGTGTTTGAATGTGCTGGGATCTCTTGCCTGACTATGCACCCAGGCCCTGTTTATTAATCACTGTCTCTGGGGGCAGGAAGCTTTGAGGTGGTACCAGAGGAAGTTCCATTTCCTGTTTTGAGTTTGGACTTGGTGTTGGAGATGGCAGCCCATTAATTTCTAGAATGTGCTAGTTCAGAAAGTCTCTTTCCTCCTGGGTCCTGCCTGGATGTCAAGGAGAAGTTTAGGCATCAGAAGGGAATTGGGCAGCCCATTCCAGGGGTCCTAGTCCCCTTGAACCAGTGTGAGAATGTAGAGGGAGGCCTGGGGCTCTCTTGTGGACCAGACGGGTACAAATCCAGGCTCAAACCCTGCCCTACTGTGGGGGCCTTGAGCAGGTGGCTTCATTTTTATGTGCCTCAGGGCCCTCGCCTGCATCTCCCTCACTGGGCTGTTGTGAGGATCAAATAAAACATCACTTGGTGTCCAGCAGGCACTCAACCAGTGGACCATTCTGTCCAGTTCCTCCATTAGGTGGCAGCCTTGCTCTTTGGTCCACAGTCTCTTTGAGAAGCTCTCGCAGCCACCTGGGGGAGATTCCTGGCTGTGGCCCCCAGGAGGCAAGGGAAAGATTAGCCAACGCCCACCCGGACCCCGCTCAGCCCACCTGTGGCCCTCCAGTCCCCCATGCCCCGACCAGTGAGTCTTCGGTGGGTCCACTTCCATGGAAGGAACCAAAGAACAGCCCTGGCCTTTGATTCTGGGAGGTGTGAGGACATGGTTGCTGCTACACCATCCATACTGATTTGGCGCTCCTCCCTCAGGGTCCCACAAACGGAGCAGAAGCCACCAGTGTAAGTAGTTTAGAGTCATCTCGGCTGCACGTTAGAACTACCTGGCAAGCTTTAAGAAACAATTTACACTGAGACCCATTCCTAGAAAGGCCAATGAAATTGGTCCAGGTGCAGCCTGAACATCAAGATTTTTAAAGTCCCTTCCCCCTTGCCCCTCCTCCCCCCGCCGCCAGATGGCTCTGATGTGCAGCCCAGGCTGAGAAGCCTGGAGCAAGATTTGTCAGTCTCAGTACTGTTGACACTCTGGGCTAATAAGTCTCTGTTGTGGAGGCCGCCCTGTGCATTGTAGGATGTTTAGCAGCATCCCTGGCCTCTACCCACAGATGCCAGTAGCACCCCCTTTCCCCCAGATGTGACAACCAAAAATCCCTCCAGATAAGGCCAAATGTCCCTTGGGGAACAGGCTCACCCCTAGTTGAGAACCACTGCTCTGGAGCAAGAATCTGGAGGACAGCAACGCTAAGTTCAAATCCTGAATGCTGTGTGACTTTGGGCAAGTTCTTTGCCCTCCTGAGCCTCAGTCCCCTCCTCAGCGAAGGGATAATCCTGCCTTTCTGGGTTGCTGGGAGGATACAGAGGACAGTAGGAACTCGATGCTGCACACATGGTAGATGTTCGATAAATACCGCCCTTTTCTCTGTAACGTGGGTTTATCTTGGAATTCTAATGCCAATTTAGAACATTTGAATTTGGTTAAAAAGAGCCTAAGAATGTTTTAAAGTCAACGTTTTGTTTTGTTTTGTTTTTTTCCTCAAGAAAGGAAGAAACCCCTTCATAAACTCCATAGATCACCACCACATCAGTCACTTGGAGCTGTTTGTTCCTGACTGGCACACAGGCTGACTTCCACTGGCACGTGTCAACCTTGGGCGACTACGCTGCTTCCTCCATCCCTGCCACACTCTTGGCTAAGAACCTAGTGTGGTTTTGAACCTTGGCTGCACCTTAGAGTCATGGGGTCAGGGAGGGGAATAGCTTTTAATATTCCAGATGCCCAGAGGCACCAGGCCGATGAAAGCAGAATCTCTGGAGAAGGAGCCAGGCGCAGGCATTTCTTAGAGCTCCCCAGATGCTGGTGTCCAGCCACGTCTGAGAATCACTGGCCCTGGAGCCACCCGCTCTTGTCCAAGAAATGTCCTCCAAATCATTCACACCCGTGCTTTTGAGCACATGCCTGAAAGCACACACCAGGCAACCTTTCATCCGTCCGTAAGGTTCTTTAGAAGATGCTGGTTCCAGCCCTGGCTCCACGGCTTCCTACCTAGATGGTGTCTCATCTATAGAATGGGGATACTGCCATTAATACCTGCTCCACCTACCCCCTCCACAACAGGGCAGTTGTAAAAATAAAACGAGAGCATATCAGTAAAAAGTATCTGAAAACTAAAGGACTGTGCACCCAGGACTAGCACACAATAATCCAAACCTGGATGTGATGGTTCGGTTTATGTGTCAATTTGATTGGGGCATGGGGTGCCCTGATACTTGGTCAGACATTCTGGGGGCGTGTGCGAGGGTGTTTTGGATAAAGTTAACATTTACATTGGAAGACTGAGCAAAGCAGATTGCCCTCCCTAGTGTAGATGGGACTCATTCAATCGTTTGAAGGCCTGAGTGGAATAAAAAGCCTGACTGGTAAGAATCCAGTCCTGCCTTTGGAACTAAAACAAGGGCTCATCCTGGGTCTCCAGTCTGCTGGCTTTCAGATGGGAACACTATTTGCTCTCCTGGGTCTCCAGCTTACAGACTCATCCTGTAGAACTTGGGACTTGCCAGCTTCCATAATTGCATGAGCCAATTCTCTATGATAAATAAACCAGTATGTCAGTATGTATGTTTCTGTGTGTGTATCTGTCTCTCATTGGTTTCTGTTTCTCTGGAGAACACAGACTAACAGACTTGATGAAAACGAACTCAGGTGTCCTCGTGTTCTCTCCGTGTAGGGGTACAGAATCGAGCTCTGCTCTCTAGGACCAAACCCAGCATGGAAAATAGAAGTTGAGGCTGGGGGTACTTGGGGTCCAGAGCCCCTCACCCACCCAGGGATTTCTCTGTGAGGTCTGGAACCATATCCGACCTGCTTTAGATATGCTGTTCATCAGCTTTTTGGGTCCCTGTGGTCTGGGCCATCTAGAGGGCCTCTCTCCTGAGCGAACAGCCAGGCACAGGGTGCTCTTCCCTGCTTCACCCACTGGGCAGCAAGCTGGTCAGCTTCTGGGAAGACAGGTTCATATGAACCAAAGGGAATTGAAGCTGTAATTACCTGCCTTGCACACACGGGTATGTAGTTAAGTCATGCAAACCAGCCATTCCCAAGAAAAAGCTCCTGAGGCCCTAAGGCCAAGGCTGAGGTCTGTGTCTCCTAGGAGCGGCCATGGTGCCTGACACATAGACACTGCTCAGCAGGCGTGGTTAGATACATGGGGGCTGGGGTGGCTGTGGCCGAGGGGCTGGGTCCATCTACTATTTTTTTTTTTAACGCCTATAGCACATGGTATTCCCAGGCGGTCTCCCATCCAAGTACTAAACAGGCCTGACCCTGCTTGGCTTCCGAGATCAGACGAGATCGGGCACGTTTAGGGTGGCATGGCCGTAGACGGATGTGGGTCCATCTAGGGCAGGGTCAGGATGCAGCCAGAGGAGGAAATAGTGGCCAAGAGCATGGTCCTTGCTGGTAAGCAGTTTGCTTTGAGTCTAGCTCTGTGCCTTTCTAGTGGTGGACATGTCCCTTAACTTTTCTAAGTTTTAGTTTCCCTCTTCTATAAAATGGGCATAATGACAGTGTCCACCTCAGGACATCATGGTGCAGGTTAAATGAAATCATGCATTTGAAGCCTTCGGGCAGTGCCTGGAGGATGGCGGCTGTTCTCACCGCATGGGGGCTTGGTGGGGGCAGACCACGAGATCAGGGCACTGGGGCTCTGCTCTCCTACCAGTCAGGTCTCAATTTCCCCATAGGCTCTAGGGCCCCTTTCAGCTGCAGCCCTCAATGATTTACCCCAGAGAACCACTGGAGAGTGTTGGGGAGGGGAGGGGAGGGGTTTGAAGTAACATTTCAACGATCCGCCTTTGTCAGGGCTCCTGGGCCAAGAGAGGAAGGGTCTCAGAAGGTTTGGCGGCTGGCTTGGTATTTCCAGAGCAGCTGAATTGTCAACACCCCTGTTCCTCTCCAGGGCTGGAATTCTTTTTTTGGTGATAAGCTAAATTGCCAGTTTCCTCCACCAGGCTGGGGTCCTAAACTAGATACCCATTTCCACTCCTGCAGGGCCAGGCCGCCAGGGAGCCCCACAGTTTGTAAATGTAATCAACCTTGAGGTCTCTGGCATCCACAGGTGCAATTAGCATGCCTATCTGCTAATCTCTGATTAATGATGTTTACAAACATGGGACCCCACTCAAGGAGCTGCTCAGCCCCTCCCTCCCTGACCAGGAGGCAGGGGTCTTCTGAGCACCCACCACCACCACTTCAGTCCTCCTCAGCCAGTACCCCTCTCCACCCCTCCCCAGGCAATGGGCAGAGCTGTGGGCCCCTCCTTAGAGCCCCCCCGCCGCCCCACTCTCAGTGGAGAGGAGCACACAGGAGACCGTGAGGCTTGGTGGTAGGTCTGGGATTCTGTTCTTTTTTCCAGTTCTGGAACTTTTAGGACACATCATGTGCTGGATTTGCTTCCTTTATTCACACCAGCTCCAGCCCTGGGGCCACACACAAACATACTTGCCTTTGTGGAGGCATGGGCCCACTCCCATGCCCCCCAGGGTCGGGCTCCCAACTTGTCCCCAGATGGCAACATTTCCACCCCATCCGCCTTCCT